GTATAATGAACTGTGTTTGACCGTTTTCTTGCCTGTTCTTCTAAACAGGCACCACAGCTAAGCTCAAAGTTCTGAGAAAAAAACGCCAGCAGCATCAGTAGTCTCATAGCTTACTTGCATTTGCCAAGAAGACAAACACTCAGCTGAACTGAGCCAAGACATCCAGTTATGATATATATAATCACCAAGAAAGAACCAAATGCTTTAATTGTTGCAGTAAAGCAGTGAGTTGGAAACTCAGTGTTGACAATAGTCATACTAACGGTGAATAAAACTCTTTGTGAGACTTGCAATGATCCCAAGCCTCCGAAAGCACAGGCAGAAAAACATCAACTTCGGCCTTGAAGTGTGTGTTTGTGGGAAACCACTAATATAAGATCGGTCATTGCTTGGATTTGCAGAAGGCTGTCAGCAGCAGTGATGTGGAGTGCACACATGATTATTTCCTCCATAAATCTGTCCTGGAGTAGCATGATCAGACTGTTGGCATGCAAGCTTGCTGATTAAAGGCTATTTAGAGAATCAGTGGCTAGGTGGGGGAAAAGAGTGAGACAGCTTCAATAGATCACAAAAAGTCCATTACAAATACATTGTAGATAGTGGAATATAGTGGCTGCAAAGCTTACCAAAATAGTAAAAGGCCCTATCTAGAGCTAGTGTTTGATTTGTCCATTCTAGGCTACTATAGAAACATACCAGTTCAACATGGCGGCCACCGTGTAAGAGGACATACAAAAGCTCGTTTTAAGGTAACAAAAGACAATTAAAAAACAATTCTTATTTTCAGATGATTATACACTAATGAAAACATACCTTAGAATATTATATTCCATTTCTGCAAATAGATCCTACTAAATGTTACACAGACCCTTAATATATAATGTATGTGGCAACTCTAACAGTGATCACTTGTAATAGTCAAAACACTAAAAACACCCCAGTTCAACTATAACATTTCAAATGGGAATGCAGACTAGAGTACTTTATGAATGTTCTCACGAGATTTGAACACATGCTCAACATGTGATACACATAGTTTGCAAATGAAAGGTGCATAATTATTAGGTACAGATTATTATCTCATAATTATGTTCTTCTGTACTGTAGCTGTGTATTGTTAAGAGAACTACTTATCAGAAGAGGTTGCATCAGGGCACCACAATTCTTATTAAAAGCTTATAACAAGATTTTATTTTCAAATGAAAGCCCATTCTCTCTGTCTACACAGTATGTGCCATTGACAACACATCAGTGGAACAGAAGGCATCGAGACAGAACATCCTACTATATCCAACAACTGTGTTTTACTTCCCTTCTGCCCTTCAGTTGCAACAAGCAGATCAAGCCATTAAAAGCACACATGGACCATATTGATTTTGTTGTATTCCATAAATAAGAGGATGTGATTCTATGGAAACCTTACAGTGATAGCACGGGTGATATCATGAGACTAGAAATATATTTTGCCCCACACAAATAAACAGGTTGGAATGTGGTGATTATACTAAGTTTTAATATGTTATTATTTTATATATCAAGATAAACATGCAAAGAACAAACAATTTAAAAGAATAAATAAAAAAATATAGCACAAAGTAGATAGCAGAACACTCAATCTATTCAATTGAAATGGGTTAAATATAGTTGTTCCATAAGTTGCATAATACAAAAGTTAACTGAAAAACTGAAAAGATTAAGTCAGTGTCCCATTATCCTCACAAAGTCACCTGTCTTGTACCCTTACAGATTTCTCCCTCTGTGTCTCTCTCTCTCTCTGTCTCTCTCTCTTTCCCACAGAGACCTCAGATTCA